TAAAGCTCTAGGGCACAAAGGAGATAACAGAAGAAGAAATGCTGCCATGTAGGCAGCAAAAACACTCCAAGGCTAAGATAAGTTGAAGACAAAAGAACAACCACAAAAACAGAAGCTGGGTATGGAAAAACCCAAAGCACTGAAACAAAGGATGACAATTCCTATAAAAGAACACTTTGAAAATGCCAAGTTGGGCAAGTCTTCTTCTCTACTGCTGTTTCATCAGAGCACAGATGCATCTGTTCACCCCGCTCCAGCTGTTATCTTCAAATCTGCTATCTTCAAATCATCATCATCTACTCAATAAGCCCAGGTTGGCCACCCTGGGCTGATATTGAGCAACTATTGCTGGTAACTATATCTGGTATGTGTGTGGATGAAATGGTTGTTTTATGTATGTGTATGCCTGTGTGCAATGATGTGTATGATGATTTGTGTGTGTTTGTATGAATGGTGTGTCCGAACCTCTCTGTCTAACTCATGTAATCAATAAACGAGGCACCTTGCCTTATCCCCCTTTATAAAGTCTCACTCATGATTTGAGCAATTGGCAATTTGTGTAACACTCTCAGGTGTGGCCCCTCTGGGATCTTTGGCCACACAGACCCTGGCCTCACCTCCAAGGCCAGTCAGAACCCCAGGCCCTCGGCTCTGAGCATCCCTCTCAGTGGGCCCCTTGCCCTTTTGATCCTTCTGGTCCTGGCCCCAGCATTGACCAGTTGAGGGTGCCTCAAGTCAGGCTTCTGATCATCTAGCCCACACTCTCTATCACAGGTCCACCTTCTCAGGCCCTACTATGTGAAAGCTGGGTTATTAAGGTGTACTAACCCACCTTTCACCAGGGTAGTAGCTGGCCTGGCATTTCCTGGGGGCTCCCACACCACTAAAAGCCCCACTAGGCCACCCATTCCTGGCAGGGTGCAGTTTTAGGTCATGCCCAGGACCAAGAGCATCCAAACCATCCCCATAAGCTCTTGTCCTTACCTCATAGCTGTTCCTGAGCCTCAGCTCCATCAACTGATGTCTCTCTCACAGCTGCCAGCAACAAACTGCTGCTTCACCCTATATATATATATACATATCTCCAGGGTCTCAAAATGGCCACGTTACTCAAGCACCTGGCTGCTGCCTGCTCCAGCCCTTAAAGTGGAAGACACCAACAGTGTCCTGCCACAACACAGTTTTCAGGAAACAATTGTGTAGTAAATCCGAGGACTACCTGTACACAGCTGCTGCTTGCTTGCGGACATCCTCATTTGAGCAAGCTGAAGTCTAAAGATAGAGGTAAGGAAAATGACCTGATCTTTCATCCTACTCCAGTGTACTTTTGTCATCCTTATGGAAAAACTACAACTGAGGCTGTTATCTCAGAATTCACCTGGCTTGGGAAGATCCTTACACAATGTACATTGTCATCTCAGTGCCACATGCATCATAGTAACTAGAAGACGTGGTATATTAGGGCAAGTCAAATGGAAAGAGTAGCCAGAGTTCTCCTATATTTGACTGATCCTTGATTGCCAATAGAGGCCAGCAATACTGCTTCAACTATAACTTAGGGCTGTATGCAAGGCACTTTAAGTTTTTCTGTGGTTCAAATAAAACTCAGAATCTGGGAGGTGGAAGTGAAAAGATGGAGTATAAGAGTGTCATAAAGCTGCTTTTATCCCACCCTTACATTTTTTCACTGAGGATTAGGGTCACACTATTTAAAGTTTAATACTGTTATTTCTACAACTTCTCTCTATCAGAAAAAAAACCAAAACAGTTTATTCTAATTCACACTATCCAACAAGTGTAAACTGGGGGATGTCACAATAAAAGGCAAATGCACAAAGCATTTATATCAGATGAGACTCTACACACTAATCAAACAGGCATGTAGCCAGTGCTTCTTAATAGATGAAGTGTTATGAAATTTTTTTGGAATACAAGTTTCATGTGGGGTAATGTGAGATGAGGTAATATGTAACAGATTTCAAACACAATCCTTCCAAATTTTTCTACTGTATCCATCTTCACTGCATTGAACACTAAAGACCACAGACCCTCCAAATGCCATCTTATCTCCAATGTAAAGGTGAGCCAGAGTTCATTTCATATAACTCCCAGTCAAAGAACTGTCCAAAGATCTTTCCCATAGATGTCAGTCACATGTTCCTATGACACTAAACAGATGTAATGAACACAGGAGGTGAGTCCAGGTATAAATTTCCCGGACCATTTTGCTTGTGATGAACAATGTCATAGCAATGGTTAATTAGGTATCCATTGGACCAATCAGGTTGATAATAAATGGTCCCATTTCCTTGGGAAGCAAGGGGAGGATTTCCAACAGGATAAGTCCTAGTAAGAGGACATATCCCATCTACCTCTTAAGGAGATCTTTCTGCCTGATCTCATTGGTGAGAATCATGAAGAGCATTGTCAAAATGGTGCTCAATTCTTTGCTGGTTGCACAGTCTTTTCAGTTAGCCTATCTAACTATGCAGAGTGGGGTGTACATGGGATGCTTGAACTGAGAGTTTTCCATATGAACCATTTCTGGCAGTAAGGTTACTGTCTATCCTTCACTCGTCTAGAACCCATGGTGAACAAACTGAGCTTTCAACGCATTGCAGCATTATTAATTCCTGTGTTATGTGATATCTCAGTCTGCAAAAAAATGTGAGTAGTGCCCACTAATAAAAGGTATTTTTTTCTGTTTAATGGAAATACTTCAAAGGCTATCTTTACTCTTTTGGGATTCTGTGGATGTTTTTAATCCTCCTTTCCTTTATTTTGAGATTCTTTAATTGGAAGGTATTATTGTCAATTTATGAGAGGTAAGGATTGTGATCTTTTATTCCAGAGGTTTTCAACCTTCCTTCTGGTGGGTACACTTTCCAGATGCAGAGCAGGGGGCAGCAGGTGTGCTGACAGACACCGGGAGGGATGATGACAGCCAGCCAGATGTGGAGCTGGCATGTGGCTGCCAACGCTCCCTATACACTCCATGTCACCATCAGGCGCCGCTTTCCCACGCCCAAGTATCCCCGCTTCTCCACACCACCGGCTTTGCATCCAGCCAGCCATCAGTGCCACCTTCCCCCTCAGTGCACAGTGGCACCACAGGGAGCACACACATGGCAGTGACCCCCATCTACGCACTCAGCACCGCCACCATGTGCCAGGGGGGAGGGGATGCTGACAGCCGGCTGCACACAAAGTCGGTGGTGCAGAGAAGTGGGGATACTTGAATGCAGGAAAGTGGTGCCTAGTGGTGGCACAAAGTGATGGATGGTGGCAGCAGCCCTGCCCTGCGCCACTTTCCTGCACCCAAGTATCCCTGCTTCTCTGCGCTACCAGCTTTGCGTGCTGGCAGTGGCATGGAGTGATGGATGGTGGTGGCGGTCCCACCTCCTGTGCTGTCACTTCCCAAGTACCCGTTCTTTTCCGTGCCACCACTGAGTAACCCCTGGAACCTTCCCAAGTACCTGCAGGGGTATGTGTACCCCTGGTTGACAACCCATTTTAAAAGATCAGCTGTATAATTGGGAGATTTGTTCAGCAAGCTATCAGGCATCAGGTGCCCTATCTTGGGTCTAAGGAAGAGGCAGATACAGGTTAAGCTTAATATCTGAGGAAACCCTCCCTGCAAATGCAAATGGTCCACTCAGAGGGCTGTGAACTAGATGTGAAGAGGTATTATAAGAAGTAATTCTAAGACAAAATTTGTCTTCAATAGCAATAATCATGGTCAAAACAGACATAATTACATTTTGCAGTTGTTAAACTTCTCAGATGACCTGCTGGATTAAACTTAAAAATGTTGACTTCATGCTTCATGACTTCGACTATATTAGTATTTGCTATGGAGCTGCTGTATTTTCAGCAGTGTTAGAGGCAGTTACTGAAGCTGCTAGGAAGCTCAGTTACATTTTTTCCTCCCAGAAGAGGAGGCATTTTTTTCCTATGGCCTTTTCTCCTAAGTCTGCAGAGTAGAGAATGATACCTCTTCCATCCACAGCGGAGCTGCCAACGGTCAGTAAATTTATTTACTGTCAGTAAAAAAAAATAAATTAAACCAAGCTAGAAAAGGCTGTCTGTAAAGTCTGTAAAAAATACTTTAGCTATCAGTAAAAACAATAAGCAACTGCAGCTTGACCGAAGATCTGACAAACAGAGCACAGCAGCATCACCTGGTGTCCAAACAAGAATTTAGCACCCTGCAGGGAGTGTTCTCTCTTCCACATGCTGCTGGTGCTGCTGCTGCATCCCAGGCTGCCTGTAATGCTGCTGGGTTGCAGGTAAGCATCTTTGGGGGTCCATGTCAGGAGGGGAGAAGGGAGTGGGGCTGGTGCAGGTTACAGCATAATGCAGGTTGTAGTCGGGGGATATCAGGATATGGGGGTGAGTAGGGGACCCCTGGAGGGACAGAGGGCAGCACAGTGTAAAACCATCACTGCAGTCAAGCAGAGTTGTCAGCCCAAGAAAATTATTTTTAGTGCAAACTTTTTACTGATACCCAAACTTTTAAACTTATTTTTTACTCTAGTTAACCCCTAAATTTGAACCCAGCCATTCTAACTGGGGCCTGGCAGCAGGGCAGGGTTTGTAAGAAGAGTTATATTTACATTAGTTAAAATATATATAATTAAAAACATGTGTCAGTAAAAAAAAGTTTGGCTGTCAGTAAAAAGCTTGCAGATTGTCAATAAAAGAAAATTCTTGAGTTGGCAAGAAAAGAAAAATTATAAGCAGGTCCCTTCTAACATTGCATGTGAGGCAGTGTGTGTGTGTGTCAGCTCCCAAATACTGTTCAGCTCATATAACATATAGTTGAGCTTTATACTGAAAACACTCAATAATCAAGGGAAATGCGGAAACACTCAAAAATATATTTATGTTAAAGTATTCACAATTAATCAAATTGCTAAACAAAAACAGGTCATAGTACAACACAGAAAAATAGACTATTAAACTATTGCCTAAGATTTCTCAGTTATATTTTAATTTACCTCTTTTACTCTCAGGTAATCGGTGCAAGAAATTTTAAGAATTTCACAGTCTTCTTCTGTAATGACAGACATCAGCATGTGCTGCATTTTTGGTGGGAGTGATTCCAAAGTCCCAAAACAGCTTCCACTAACAAGCTACAATAAAGAAATAAATAAAAATATATCATAATGTATCAGACTTGATTGTCCCTCTTTATCAGGAAAGCACGGTGGCAACAAAATTTTAAAATTAAGTTTTATATATCAGTTTCTTTTGAATACTATATATTTTACTTTCTGAAAGCCCAGCCAAATTATACTCACTGGCAATAGCTGATATTTTATGCATTAAACATGCAATCATGTGGTAATTAGGGATGGTGATAATATACCAGAATACTATGGTAATGAAGTTCAATTTGATGCAACGTTTTTGTAAACAACCGTTATGCAGGATCATCCTTGTAAAAAATGAGCATTATTCCCAGAACCAATAATTTTGTCTTATGAATGTGTCTTTGCTTTAAAAAAGTCAGCTTTTGGGAGAATGCCCATGACAGGTGGGTTCATCAGACAGATTTGAGATAATGGGCCAGATCCTCAAGTGACATAATCTGCATAGCTTTGCCACTTCATACCAGCTGAGGATACTTCTTGCTGCATGCATGATGTAGCTGAACTGAGATAACATGTGCCATCACATTTTAAGCAATAAAATACCAATTGCAGCGTATATCTAATGAAGTTATTTGGCGTGCTCATATGTACTTTGTAATTAGCAGACGAGCAAATATTCAAAACAACATAGAAGGAAAGTCATGACACTAGGTCAATTCAAATTATTACCTGGATAATACTTGCCATTAACACAACTCTGTATTCTCAGGGTGAGAATACCTAAATGGTGTTCTAGGCAGACAAGGTCCTCTAGGTAAATGTGATATATTTTATTAGACCAACTAAATAGTTGGAAAGACTGTTGTTTCCAAGCTTCTGGGTACAAACACCATGTGCCTGAAGAAGGGTGTTTGTACCCAAAAGCTTGCAAAGAACAATTTTCCAACTAATTAGTTGCTCTAATAAAAGATATCACAGTTACCTAAAGGACCTTCTCTGCCTATGTCCTTAGACCAACACCACTATAACTAACAACCCAAATGGTGTTTTGAAATGACTGAAAAGGGAAATATATAACTTGAATACATAACCAGCACCTGATTCTATGCCATCAAGTCTGCATTTTACCGAAACGGAGAGTGCTCAAAACTTCGGAGAAGCTCAACACCAGCAAGCAGAGGGGTGTGTCCAGACAAGCCCGCACATGCTTCTTGCAATGACTCAAACCCCTTTGAGACACTGCAAGAAACACTGCAGGAATGAGAAAATGTTCCCTCTGCTGCAACTTTGTAGCGCGGGGGGGGGGGGAAATTAGACCCCTGGATATCCAGGGATCAAAAAAACCTGCACAGAAAAAAAGCAGGACTGCCCTGAGGCAACTGTGGCTGGGTCCTCCATAGAGATGCTTTCACTGCCAGAGCATCTCTATGGTGAGCCCTCACCCTGGTGCTGAAGAACACTGTGGGGGCTCTGTGAACAGTGTGCCAGCAGCAGGGAGCTCCACTGCCGGTAAGTAAGGGGTCAGAAGGCTAGAGGAGTGGGGAGGGGACCATGGGGGAACCCCCATCGGCCCCGCCCACTCCCCCAGCCCCCTGAGCCCCCACA